GCGCGTGCGTGCCTGTTGGACGGGCTGGTGTTGTACCCATTTTCGACCCCCTCCAAAATTATTACCCCTCTCATTAAAATCGCTATCTGATTGCCTAATCCTAACCCCACCCCTAATCCTAACCCCTCCCCTCCCCCACACCTAAACCTAAACCTACCAATACTAGGGGGGTAATGATCTGGCAGGGGTCAGAATTGGGCACAACACCGGCACTGGTCAATATAATTGATTTTCAATAGGCTAGCTTTTAAAAACTTGTTAATACCACGTGGTATGGATTATATACTGGAATAAAGACAACAATACACTTCAATAGACATTGAATTGAAACGTTGATATGCAGTGTTGTATATCAAACTTGGCAGATTTAAACAAATGGCCAAAGAGGGCCAAAAAAGGGGTGCACCCCTGGATCATCCAGGCTAGATGTGATGCCCCTGGGAATATGCCAAATTGTCCATAAAGCCTGGGACACACTGCACGATTTTCAGCGGCCCTAGACGAAATATGTTTATTGTTAAACAATCGTGGCTTCTATCAGTGTCCTAGACTCTAAAAAATGCTGGGTTAAAAACAACCCAGTGCTGGGTAAAATAGGGACAAACCCAGCAATTGGGCTGTTTTGACCCAGCGGTTGGGTTAAATGTTTAACCCAACATTCTGGGTAGTAACCCAACCACTGGGTCAAAACAACCCAATTGCTGGGTTTGTCCCTATTTTACCCAGCACTGGGTTGTTTTTAACCCAGCATTTTTTAGAGTGTACATTGTACAGTGAGAGAGGTTCAAAGACGGCCATTGTCACCGTCTTGCGAACAATGATAGGCTACGATAATTTTCTGAGCGTCGGAAATTCAGCATGATCATCGGAGAATGTGCCAGCCAAAAATGCAACATGAAATGATGTGTTGATCAACGCGACATGACGTTAAAACTGCTTACCTCAATCTTTTCCCTTCCTCTTTTGCAGCTTCTTTTTTTCAGCACAGATAAAAAGTAAAACCTTTTTTATTGAAAAAAACCCAAAACAATAGCAACTATTGTCAAATCATAATACAGCAACAATAACAATCCAGGGCCATTCAGTCTTTCAGTCCAGAGAAAGTCCTTCAGCAAAGCCATTGTTGCAAAGCCATCAATAGATTGAAAATACATTTTTATTTCAAGTTTAAATATTAAAAAGAGAGAAAAAAATACATTTATGAATATGATATTTGGCTAACAGGAAAATAAGGTTTATGAAATAAGTATCACTTTAATTTTCACATCAATGAAAACAATTAAATTTCTAAGCATATTTAAAATTAGGATTTACCTGACACTTGATAAAATCAAAAATGTCACACCAAAATATCGTTATGCAAGAGTAATTTCAAAATAAACGTAATGTTTCAGGTTTCTCTAAACCGAAAGAACAGTTGGTATATATATCGTTCTTAAGTCTTATCTTGGTAAAATCTAAGAATCAACTTAAATGTAATTTATCTCATTTTGGTAGTTGTGAGATAATGGCCAGACTTTCTTCAGGGAATATCACTTCCAAAACCATTCCAGTAGGAGATACATAAAGCACTGAAACACACTCCTTCTGAAACAAAAGTGAAAGTGTGTTTCACTTTCAAAAGGCCCTGTTTACTTACAAATGTTTTGCACAGATCCCCTGAGTGACAAGAGATTTGAAAAAAAAAAGACCTCTAAAGAGCATGAGAACTCCATGTGGCACTGCTTCAGCAACAATTGCAAACTCTTTTGGACAAACAGGAATATTCCATTAACTAAAAAGGCAGTTTTTACAGATTGAATTACAGATTGAACCAGTTTGATTGAAACCCATTTGATTGATCCCATTTTAAACCAATTTTCAAAGAAAGGGGATTTGTGTAATACAGTAAATTCTTATTATCCCAGATTAGATATGACTAATGAACAGAACATTTGGAATATTACTATCACTAATGATTTTATATAGTCCATACTAATTGAAATCTCAATACATTGTAGTTTACAGAAAAAAAAATAAAAAAACGTCCAAAAACACTAAAAAAAAAAAAAAAACATTGCAGTACATTAACAGCATGTTTGCTACACTATTTATTGAATATGTTTTATGTTATTTATTTTTTTTAGAGTTTTTAGACTGGTTTTTAAATTAATTAAACTTTTTTCATTTTTTTTAACACACAGAACTCAACACAATCATGAATATTAAATGGAACACTAATGGAAGTGATCTCAATTTTACAATGTAGAAAATCAACAATGCTTCACAGAACAGGTCATGAGTGACAAATTCTATTTAGAATTTATTTTGGGTCTGTTAAAAGACTGTGTTTAGCACCAATGATGAAATGTTGAATTGAAATGTTACATAATGTAAGGGATCAGAGTCATGTAACACTAATACATTTGTTAAAAGCTGCCAAGGTTAGAAAATAATGTGTACTGTACATTATAAATATATTTCATTCAATATATATTAAAAAAAAAAAACATGTCGTTCTTGCAAATCATAGAACATCTTTCATAATATATAGTTCAAGTGGTTTTGTAACATAACCTTTATAGACATATTGAAATTTTTCTATTAGGAATTTGAATTTCAGAAGGGTGTTCCACTTCCGTAAAGCCATTTAGTTTGGTCTGTTCTCTCTTTGTAATGAACACAAACAATACACTCATTACGATCAGCAGCAGCAGAATAACAGGGATCAACGTGAAGCATCCATGGCATCTGTATGCTGACTCTCCTGGCCTCTCACTCTTATCTGTACAAAGAAATTGAATTAAAATGCTAATTAGTTTTAGACACAAATGTTGTTGATGATTCATAAGAATTTTAAATGACGTGTTTTTGAAAGTCCTTACCCGAGTAGAGCTGGATCGCTCTCCTGATGTCTTGTCCCAGGGCTTTGTTGTGCAGTATGAACGTCA